TTTTTTTTTTTCCATCAGTAGTAGTTAACATAGAGGTCACCATTAGCAGAGGATCATGAAAGCTGCAAGAGTCTAGTGAAGTGGGATGCACTGTGGCATGCAGCTCTTCTATTTAGTTAGACTTTGGTGGACTTTCCTGACTTTATCATCATGTAGTTCTATTATTTAAATCCCGTGAAGCCATGTGAAACTTCCTGAGGGGGAACATACTAGATTGACTAGTATTTGTTTGCAAGACAGTCTGAAAGCAAGATTTACGTGACCTCTCACCTGCACAGACAGAACCACTATGCAGAGCCTGGTTTAGTAAAAGAGCATATATTGACTTGTGGGAAAAAAGAACCTTGAAACCAGCAGGTAGCAAAATGATGCCTTTTCAATGGCAAAAACACTTTGTAATTCATTTCATACTTAACTGTGAAAAAAAAAAAAAAAGAGAAAAAAAGATATTTCAAACTAAAGGGGAAAGTTTCATGAGCCACATATGAAATACTTCTTATTGTTGAATAGGATATTTAATTTTTCTAAATGTCAATCTATTTCTATACCACAAAAATGAGGCGCTCTTACTTCACATTAATGAGGAAGTTTCTATTTAATGGCTTATGGATGACACAAATATGCCTCTATCTTGAAGAAAACAGTGATATATAAATAAACCTTCTGTTAAAATTCATGCATAATCAAAACAAATTGAATATCCGCTTTTATTTCCATAGGGAACCCAGCTATAGAGATTAATGCAAGACAATGATATTTAATTAAAGCTTATTTACTTTGTAAGTACTTCCATGTTTTCAAGAGTATTCCCCTCTTTTGGAAAAGGAAGCAGTAATGTATTTCAGAGCTATCTAACAATCATAGGTGGAGGGAACTAGCTATGATCACAGCACAGTGCTTACAGCGATACTGACAAACTGTCTAGCAAAATTTTTCACATTAAAGAATTCTGGTGTTAAAGAATTTAAATGCATTTTAATTGACTTTTCAAAATTCCATTTTTTATTCACAAACACACCTGAACACAATAACAGGAATTCATTTTTATATGAATTATTCTCTCTGATGGCATGTTGTTGTGCTGTACACATAATGCTCTCTTCATTATTCACATGCAAAGTAAAAGATTATGCTCTTATGCATAATAACCGAATAAGTTTCTTTTCCTTGGGCACTAGCCTAGTCCAGATTTTTTTGTGTTTTAACACACTGTTAAGTACTTCGGTGAAATTAGAGGAAAACAGTTTATGTATGAATGCAGATATTGACATGAGAAAACAAAGGGAGTGCAAAAGAAAATTACACTTTCATTCTGTTACCGTAAGTTTTTGGAACATTAGTTTCTAAGAGGATGTTTAGTTTTAAAATGTGAGAATGGTCAGGATGGATGTGGCTCTTGATTATTTCTCATCTGTATGAACACACAACCTCCAAGCACAACACTTGCAAAAACGATTGTATTAGTCATCTACAGCTACAAGGCTGTTTAAGATACACAAATAAAATAGCTTTATTTGGATTGTAATTAACAAGGCAAATATCACAATATTCTACAGGAAACAAACATTCCAAATCTATATATTTTATTTCTTCTGACAACTGGCAAAGTATATTTTACTGCAGAATGCTTTATTGCTTCTTAACTATTCACCCTACACAGTATACATAAAAGCTTAATGAGTATAGCTGCATAAAAACTAATTTTAATGCTTTTAAAATCAATGGTGAACAAAATGTTGTTTAGATTGTTTTTGGAACAACTATACCACATCTGATCCTTTGAGGAAAAGCAATTACTTTTTGTCGTCATAGCCAATACATTTCTTTATTTTCCTGTTTTAGTTATACTATTCTTAGATGCCTTTACACCAGTTATCATGCAAACAGTTAAATATTTGAGCAAGTATAGAAGAAATATTGTTATTAAATGTATAATCAGTAAAATGCTACTTTCATTAAAAAACTGAGGCGCGCAAGAGCAGAAAAATAAAAATGTTTTTCTTCTAAATTAACAAATAGTATATGCACATTTGCCTAATTAAGTATGTCTTCAAAGAAAAAATACAAAAAGTATTTATATAAAAGGTGTACAAAGATCTGTACATGAGACAGCTGTTAGAATAGGAATTTAGCTGCTCGTTCTTTCAGTCACTCTGTGCATAACCACCAGCTTTTTTATTTTCTAAGGTAAATCAAATATAATCATTTTTTGTAACTTTCAAGTGTTATAAATCATTGGGAACTTATGTACACCTAATTTATGCAATCACATTGGTAGTGAGGAAATCATCATTCTTTAGTGTTTTGTATCTCTGTCACTTTCTCCCAGTGAATTTCTTTATTACAACAGGCACCACAATAGGTGAGAGTTTTTCAGCATTTATATTAGTGAGACCAATTTTTAAGGTATATAGCTCAGTCATAAAAAACAAACCATAGCCTGCAAGTGTTAGTTTGTGATTTTTCCAACACATACACTCACACACACAGCTTATACACACATTTTCTGATTTAAAATGCTTCCTTCTTTTCCTTCAACTGCACTCCTGAAATTTAAAAACATATTCCTTTTTTTTTTTTTTTAAAAAGGAATTTTGCAGGCCATCAGGTGCAATACAGGCTACCTCACTGCTACTGCCAAAGAAAAATAACACCACCACCACCACCACCTACATGGCTGAGGTACTGAGATTTTATAAAGCATTCCTAACACATGCATAAAAGCCACTTTTCATAAAGAGTTGCTGTACATTCCTGAGTACTTTCCAGAGATTTAGAAAGCTACAGAATTTGCAAATGTGTACTCTTGTACATAGACATTTGTAACACACACCTCCTATGCAGTGCATGTTGAATCCACATTAAGTGTGATATAGAAACATAATTAAACATGTTTCCTTTATATATTCCACATTCCCCTTTTCTACATCACAACCACTGTTGGGAATGTTAGATATTCCAGGACTAAGTTGCATTTCTGTTGGATGTTTTGCCCAGGCAAGGACTGAAGTTTCCAACTCCGTGTTCTCTACAATAGAACGGGTGTAAGCTGGCTCTTACCATGGTGAATTGTCAGCCATTTGGAAAGAGGCTTTGGAGATTATATGTTTAACCTTATTCTAGCAGTATGTCCCAGGAAAAATCTTCAGCATTAGAGGTCTTGTCATTTCTAAGCATACTTCTATTAAAATGATTTTTTTCCTTGGGATGTAAATAGTACGACAGCAATAGAAGCAGCAGAACCTGAGAGGGGAAAAAAAAAAAAAAAAACACCCTGCCATTTCAGTCAGAAATTAAGTAAAAATCAGGAAAAAAAAATGAGATTAAATTTCAACTTTAAGGTAATAAAAGATGGAGATGTAGGTGCCAATGAAATCTGCCAAAACTAAATTTCAGAAGCACGGCTTTCTCATCTTGAAATGTTACACCCATAAAAGCAGCCTATAAAATTAATCTACCTGGAGATTTTCCATGTTAAATCAGCTCAGAAATAACTTTTAAGCACTTATGGTATTATATCTAAAATACATATTCTCCTGTTGTCGATATATCAAAATCCTGTGTATTTTGAAAAATAAGATCTGAGCTGCACAGAAATGTTTGTATTATAAGAAAGAACAGTAATAAACTATATCACTTTCAGAGAGAGTTGACATTTGCAAGCATTCTCTAAAAATCTGCATCGGGTTGCACTATTGGGGGAACATACTGCTAAAGATTCCTAAATTCGCTTTCTTGAAAAGAAATATTCTGAGCTTGGAGAAGGAGGCAGAAAGCCAGTGTATCTTTTCAACCTGGATCTGAATATGAAATTCCTAAAATGCTATTGTTATCCATTTTACCAGAAGTGCAATATGGGCCATTCATATAAACTCTTTTATTTCATTTACTCAGGGGAAAGGGATGTTCAATATGAGCAAGAAAATAAGTGAAGTAATTTCTGAAGAAAACAAACCTTTACTTCGCTCAGGAAAACACATTGCATTTTCAGTCTGCCGGATCTGGAAATAAAGAGCATTTAGATAATGATGTTTATATTCTAATCAATTTGTCTAAATTAGTTTCTTTTAAAATTTAGTTTGAGCTATATAACAATATGTGCAAATTCAGATTTTTTTTTTCTGCCTAGAAAGCTGCAATAGGCAAAGCAGCAGATACAAGTGAAGAAAAAAAAAAGAATGAAAATAAATCTGCAGATTCCATACATTTGGGTTCTTTCCAAGAACTTTGCCACATTTTGCAGATTCTCAGTTTCCAAAGAAAGGTGCCTTAGCATTTCCAATTGTGGAGATATTCTTGCCTCTGTAAATCAACGTATTGTTGCTAGCCAGCCTTGCAGAAATCTGTCTACAGCTAGCCAGACAGAAACAATAGGAGTGACAATTATATGTATTCTCTTTCCTCCCTCCAAAATTAACATGGTTTTGCCTTAAAATTGCAAAGCAATTTTAGTAAAGGATGTGTTAGTGTTTGAAACTCTAACTTGGAATTAAGCAGAGGTTGCACCACTGTAAAAGCACAGGTAAAATGTATACACTTTTTTTTTTTTTTTTTTTTTTTTTGCTCATACAATGTCCAACTGGGTTACTTTTATCAACTCAGCATCACATATCAGGCATGGAAACAAACGAACTCTGTAAATGAATGAATCTGGGATGAACATTTGGTTTCTGTCAGGAGTGGATGTCCAGACAAATAGGATATTTCAGGTAAAGTTACTGAAGAAAGAGAGAAAAAAGCCACAGGCAGACTAAATTGTACTGATCCTAATCACTGTTAAGGCACAGCATGGAAGAAGGGAGCAACTTTGGAGTATCTTCCTTAATGTAATTAAAAAAAAAAAAAAAAAAAGATAAAATATCTCTGCATTTCTATTAAAATGGTCAGGACCTAGTCCATTGTTTTTTAGTATTATTTTTCTCCTGGTGCTTTCATTAAAATACGTTTTTCCTTCCTACTTCAATTGCTTGTAACTCACCTTCCTTTACTTCATCTAAAAATCCACCTGAGCTTGAATGAAACATTAAGCTCCAGATTTTAACAACTGTACGAAAGTGGCATGGAATAGGATGTTGTTAATGTGTTTTATATTTCTGAATCTGGAAGCTCTCAGGAATTTAAGCATGTTCGTGCACGTCTCTGACACATTTATCTGCAGAACGGGTTCAAAGGTGGACACTCTCTGATGTGAAATCAAGGTGCTGCAGAATCCTGCAGAATCTATAGAAATACCTCCACAGATTTTGCCAAAAAACCTCAGCAGATTTATATTGGCCCTGCCAATGACTTTCTGTTTAACTTGTAATCAAAACAACTCAAACCCAGTTACTGTTTGCATATCTGCCAAGCCTCTCAATTTCAGCAGTAGGCAGCAGACTCTCAGTATGACAGCCTGTCTTTCAGATTCAAGCTGAATCTGCCAAGGCTCCACTACAGAGGCAACTGGTAAATTAAATGCCAACAAGCAAGGACATTCATGTACCTTTACACTCTGCACATGAAGAGACATCACAGGCCTCTTCATTCTAATGGGTGCTTTGTGTGTTTTGGGCTGCAAAGCAAAGAGTGCCCGCTCTTGTGCATAATGAAGCCATTGCATATACATTAGTTTAGCTGTATCTCTCTAATTCTGTGGTCACAAATTACCTAACAAATTTTCTTGTTACAGAAAAACAGAATATCCTTTTGTGGGCAAAATTAACCCACAGAAACAAACAATGAAAGGGAAATCAACTTTTAAGCCCTTTTCTATAGAAAGATTATGGATAACATCATATACTCAGGTTACAGCAGAGCCATTGCTAAGGGTAACTGAAAATAAGAAACATTCAAAACATACTGTCAAATCTCTAGTTCCCTTGTTCATAATATAGGCACGCTATCTGATTCTGAGAAAGGTGATTTTTTAAAGCTATCAGTGCTACTGGTGATTCCTTACAGTAAGCAGAAGAGGTTAATTATATTTATGCAATTATTGACTCTCACTAATACTTAAAAGTTGCATGATACTTTTTGATTATTGATAGCTGATGCAGTCACTATTGCCAAGTTTAGATTATATTAGTAATTTTGAGTGCACAGCCATAATACAACCAGAGATATTAATACCATTGAGCATAAATAACAGTACTTGACAGACTCAAGTGGGGGGGGGAAAAGCACTAACACTGGTTCCTCTAATGGACAGAATAAATGATAGAATCGCATAATGAGTTTACAGCAGCCAGGTTTAGTGAAATCTATTTCTGAAGTAAGAAGGGGGGAAAGGTAGCAATTTTGGTAACAGAATGAGGGTACAAACACATTAAAAATTAACAGGGTGTTTTCAGATAATTGAAAGAAAAAGCAACATGGGAAATTTAGCTGCTATAACTCACAAGGCTTTACAGTGGGCATGATCAGTGTTTCCTGCCATGAATATAATCTGCCATCACACCTATAAATGAAAAATAATAATAATAAAAAAGTATGAGATTCTCAAGAGTTCCTTTAACAACAATAGAGAATTTTCTTGCCTGTTTTTTTTTTTTTTTTTTTNGAAGAGAGATCCTCAGTCCAACACAAAAGAGGTTACTGTTGTGCAAGTGTCTTTTTTATTTACTGTAATTTGGCAGACACAGCTCTGCAAGACTTCAGAACTAAGAAAGTGGGAAACTTTGATGTTCCTTTGACATGAGCTGGTTGAGATGCATCTTCTTGGTAATTGTAAAGAAATATATTGTTGCAGCTACCTGGTGTTAGCAGTGAACTATGCTTCATTTTGCAGAGACAATTCCTCCCTTCTCCACTTCCCTCCAGTCTCTGCAGTACTTACCTTTGTCACACCAAGATTTACTTTAATGGGAACCATGTTAGGTGTCCCCAGAAAAATGACAAACTAAAATTAACCTATAATTGTAATATAAGCCTGAAGGCATGTGCTTGGCGGGAAGAAATTCACCTTCGACGGACACATCAGCCAACTGTACAAGGATATTTGAAATTCCAGACATTGCAATTTCATTAATCAATGAGGAAATCGGTTAGCAACCAGTCATGCTCCTTTGCAGTGTGACTACAATTTGCGTTTGACCTAATCCTTAGCTTGAATTCCCCTTTGCCCGGTGATGTGCCATTTCCAGCATTTGACTCAGTGGTCACTGGCAAAGCTCCCAGGGAATGCAGCAGCTGCCGGATCAGGTCCTGAAAGAGTCTTTCCCCTTCCGCTTCTTATCAGTATTTTGTAAGTGCATAAGTGAAATCCGCCAACAAAAAAAGTGCCTAACTGCAGAAGTGAAGTTATAGGCACGTGTCCTTCAACGTTAAAAAAATCACATCACCAAAACCCTTTGTATTTTACAAGCTTCTTTTCTCTCTATTTATTTATTTTGGTCATCTGCCTATAGGCGGGACGTTTCTTGCTGGCTGGCTTGTGACAGCAATATTGCAGCCAGTAGGACAGACAGCTAAAAATCTACGGTAACTACGTTATATACAGACACGCTATCCCCTCCCTGAGGC